GTAGCGAGAAACCACGCGTCATCACTCACACGTAAAATGCCAAAGTAAACGTGTAAGAAGAGGAAGGTTCTATACATAATTCTAGGTTCTTGTACATACGTGGATAGAGTTAGATAGAATTTGTACAGAGTATCACGAATTACGCCTAAGACCTCGACATTATTGTATTATAGATTACAATTTATCGTGAAATAAATGGCACGAGCCCAAAGCGAACGGAGACAGATTGTATTTCAACGAACGAGCTTCGAGTGCTGCCCGAGGCACTATTTCGAGTAATTGTTAACGCGTTCTTCCGCAAGTTCGTCGAAATTTGTCTGTGTCTTTGATTAATAAAGAAAAGTGAGGGAGAGAACGAATATTTCGCAATGAAGGAGCTATTTCGACCTACTTCCGGAAACGCGACGTGATTGTTAGATTAAACCGGGAATAAGGACTAGAACGTGAATGTTTGATATATTTAAATCGATCGAAAGGGGGAAATATGAAACGAGACAGGGCTGATTGTACTAAAAGAACCATCCAACTATGCGGAAACATGTTTCCATCTATTCTCATAAGTTTCACAGCGTCGCCATATTGCTGCCATTATTTGTACAGAAACGACACTCTTTATTTCGCGTGCCACATTCTAAATAACAACGTGTTTGCGACTGTGTGGCACAGCGGATTCTGTTATTTTTATCGTGTATATCCTTTTTATACTCTACGATAGCGCGGACTGTATTATTTGACGGCGAAACAGATACAGCTACCAGAGAGACTTTAATGCCTGTTGAAACTTCTGATAAAATCGTGACACGTATGAAACAAGTCCCGTGTTTTATGAGACTCGTCGAATCATTACGAACCTTCGGCGTTATCAATTACACTTAATATATATCTGTGTGTATATTCGATAACATTTCGGGCTTTCGTTCATTGCGTTCGAATAAATATAGTTAAACGATCCCTCGTCGAGTTATCGTCGAAGCGAACGAATAACGAAGAAACGCGTTCACTGAGCGTGAAATAATTTGGAAATTCTTGAGCATTTGTTATTACACATTAGCGTGTCGGAAGACTGAATTTTATCAGAGTGTAATTTATATGCATATTATTGGAAGGCTGGTAATGATCGATGCGATCAATTAATACAGAGGATAGCAGTCTAACGTTGATGATCTAAAGATGTTAAGATCTGTATAATAAACGAACAAGCTCGTATAGAAGAAGAAATATTCGATAGTCTCTTTTCTGCAACCTCGTCGAAACAGAGATGAAAGTCAAAGTGTAATTAATCGACGTTTTATTAAAAAAGGAAAAAAAAAAAGAAAAAAAAGAAAAAAGAAAAATAAAGGAATGACATTATTATGTGGGGGAAAGAAAGAAAGAGACGCACATCGTTTAATAAGTGTAATTAACGTCGGCCAAGAAACAGTGGCATGTGATTTAATGTGACTTGTGTTCGAAATCGGTGAAACGTTTCTCGACTCGAGAATTCCGTTTGTTCGGTTCGCGGAGGATTTACGAAGTGAAGTCGTTAAACGAAAAATCAAGAGAAACGATGAAATTACAAGTGAACCGTTCCTTTCTACGATTACTTGATCACGTCCTCACAACGATTGTAATGAGATCTTGTTCCTTCAATGAATGTTACCGGTTTTGCACAAGGCACAAGTCTAAACTTACGAAGAAAAAGATACATGTTATATATATATATGTACTAGTCGCGTATATTTAAGTCACAATAAATAGTCAATTGTTTCATATAAAGTACGAATAAAATAAAAACAGAAACCACGCACGTTTGTGATTTTTCACCTGAATATTTCTACGTCTGTCCGAAATCTTTGGAGGTTCCAGGCTGAGGTTGATTTTTAAA